ATGCCAAAGCCAGGAAAGAACATAACGAAAAAAAGAAAACTACAGACAATATCCTTGATGTACATAGATGCTAAAATCCTTAACAAAATACTAGCTAACCAAATCCAACAATGTATCAAAAAAATGATCCATCATGATCAAGTAGGTTTCACACCAGGGATGTAGGGATGGTTTAACATATGCAAGCCAAAACATGTGATACACTACATAAACAGAATCAAAAACAAAAATCCGATTCCCTATTTAATAAATGATGTTGGAACAACTGGCTAGCCATATGCAGAAAACTGAAACTGGATCCTTTCCTTATATCTTATACAAAAATTAACTAAAGATGTATTAAAAACTTAAATGTAAGACCTAAAACCATAAAAACCCTAGAAGGAAACCTAGGTAATACCATTCAGAAAATAGGCATGGGCAAAGTCTTCATGATTAAAACATCAAAAGCAATGGCAGCAAAAGCCAAAATTGACAAATGAGAGCTGATAAAACTAAAGAACTTCTGCACAGCAAAAGAAACTATCATCGGAGTGAACAGGTAACCTACGGAATGGGAAATTTTTTTTTGCAATCTATCCATCTGACAAAGGGCTAATATCCAGAATCTACAAAGAACTTAAATTTACAAGAAAAAAAAAACAACCCCATCAAAAAGTGAGTGAAGGATATGAACAGACACTGCTCAAAAGAAGACATTTATGCAGCTAACAAACACATGAAACAAAGCTCATCATTACTGGTCATTAGAGAAATGCAAATCAAACTATAATGAGATATCATCTCATGCCAGTTAGAATGGTGATCATTAAAAAGTCCAGAAATGACAGTTGCTGGAGAGGATGTGGAGAAATAGGAATGTTTTTACACTGTTGGTGGGAGTGTAAATTAGTTCAACCATTGTGGAAGACAGTGTGGCAATTCCTCAAGGATCTAGAATCAGAAATACCATTTGACCCAGCAATCTCATTACTGGATATATACTGAAAGGATTATAAATCATTCTACTATAATGACACATGAACACGTAGGTTTATTGCAGCACTGTTCACAGTAGCAAAGAGTTGGAATCAACCCAAATGCCCATCGATGATAGACTGGACAAAGAAAATGTGGCACATGTACACTGTGGAACACTATGTGGCCAAAAAAAGGATGAGTTCATGTCTTTTGCAGAGACATGGATGAAGCTGGAAACCATCACTCAGCAAACTAATACAAGAACGGAAAACCAAACACCACATGTTCTCACTCATAAGTGGGAGATGAACAATAAAAACACACGGACACAGGGAGGGGAACATCACACACCAGGGCCTGTCACAAGGTGGGGGATTAGGTGAGGGATAGCATTAGGAGAAATACCCAATATAGATGACAGGTTGATGGCTGCAGCTAACCACCATTGCATGTACATACTTACGTAACCTGCACGTTCTGCACATGTACCCCAGAACTTAAAGTATATTTTTAAAAAATCACATAATCATCTCAATAGTTGCAAAAAAAGCATTCAACAAATCCAGCATCCCTTCATGATTGAAATGCTCATCAAAATTGGCACAAAGGGGATATACCTTAAAGTAATAAAAGCCATCTATCACAAACCCATAATAATGAATGGCAAAAGTTGAAAGCATTCCCCCTGGAAACTGGAACAAGACAAGGATGCTCACTCTCACACTCCTCTTCAACATAGTACTGGAAGTCCTATCCAGAGCAATCAGACAAGATGTAGAAATAAAAGGCATCCCATCAGTAAAGAGAAAGTCAAATTGTCACTGTTTGTTGATGATATAATTGTTTACCTAGAAAACCCTAAAGATTCCTCCAGAAAGCTCCTAGAACTAATAAAAGGATTCAGCAAATTTTCTGGAAACAAGATTAATGTACACAAATCAGTATCTCCTCTATACAGTAACAGCAACCAAATTGAGAATCAAATCAAGAATTCAACCCTTTTACAATCACTTCAAAAAATAAAGATAAAATCCTTAGGAATATACCTAACTGAGGGGGTTAAAGACCTCTATAAGGAAAACTACAAAATACTGCTGAAAGAAATTATAGATGACACAAACAAATGGAAACATATCTCATGCTCATGGAAATGTAGATTCAATATTGTGGAAATGACCGCACTGCCAAAAGCAATCTACAAATCCAATGCAATTCCCATCAAAATACCATCATCATTCTTCACAGTATTAGAAAAAACAATTCTAAAGTTCATATGGAAGGAGAATAGCCCATATAGCCAAAAAGAGTAAATCTGGAGGCATCACATTACCTGATTTCAAACTACACTACAAGGCAATGGTCACCAATACAGCATGGTACTGGTATTAAAATAGGCACATAGACCAATGGAACAAAATGCAGAAATCTGAAATAATCTCAAACACATCCAACTGCTCTTCAACAAAGCAAACAAAAATATAAAATGGGGAAAGGACACCCTTTTCAACTAGTGGTGCTGGGATAATTGGCTAGCCACATGTAGGAGAATGAAACCGGATCCTCATCTCTCAACTTATACAAAAATCAATGCAAGATGGATTAAGGACTGAAATCTAAGACCTGAAACTATAAAAGTTCTAGAAGATAACATTGGAAAAACCCTCTCTAGACATTGGCTTAGCCACGGATTTCTTGACCAGGAACACGAAAGCAAATGCAAGAAAAACAAAGATAAATAGCTGGAACTTAATTAAACTAAAGAGCTTTTGCACAGCAAAAGGAACAGTCAGCAGAGTAAATAGACAACCCACAGAGTGGGAGAAAATCTTTACAATCTATACATCTGACAAATGAGTAATATCCAGAATCTACAAGGAACTCAAACAAATTAGCAAGAAAAAAAAAATCCCATCAAAAAGTGGGCTAAGAACATGAATAGACAATTCTCAAAAGAAGATATACAAATGGCCAACAAACATATGAAAAAAATGCTCATCATCACTAATTATCAGTGAGATGCAAATTAAAACCACAAATAAATACCACTTACTCCTGCAAGAATGGCCATAATCAAAAAATCAAAAAATAGTAGATGTTGGCATGGATGCAATAAACAGAGAACACTTCTGCAGTGCTGGTGGAAATGTCAACTAATGGAAAACAGTGTGGGGATTCCTTAAAGAACTAAAAGCAGAACTACCATTTGACCCAGCAATCCTACTACGGGTATCTACCCAGAGGAAAATAAGTCATTATACAAAAAAATACTTGCACACGCATGTTTATAGCACATAATTTGCAATTTGAAAAATGTGGAGCCAACCGAAATGCCCATCAATCAATGAGTGGATAAAGAAGTTGTGAGATGTATATAGATATAATGGGATACTTCTCAGCCATAAAAAGGAATGAATTAATGGTTTTTGCAGCGACCTGGATGAAATTGGAGACTGTTATTCTAAATGAAGTAACTCAGGAATGGAAAACCAAACATTGTGTGTTCTCACTCATAAGTGGGACCTTAGCTATGATGGCTGCAAAGGCATAAGAATGATACAATGGACTTTGGAGTCTTGGGGCAAAAGGGCAGGAAGAGGGTGAGAGATAAAAGACTACAAATAGGGTGCAGTGTATACTACTTGGGTGATGGGTGCACCAAAATCTCACAAATCAACACTGAAGAACTTAGTTATCTAACTAAACACCTCCTGTTCCCCAGTAACCTATGGAAATAAAAAAAATTAAAAAAAATCTCTATAGGCAAGTTAAAAAACAATAAAGACAGACATACCATTGGACTCAGCAATCCCATTACTGGGTATATACCTAAAGGAACATAAATCATTGTATTATAAAAGACACATACACACATATGTTTCCTCCAGCACTATTTACAATAACAAAGACATGGAATCAACCTAACTTCCCATCAATGATAGAATGGATAAAGAAAATTTGTTACATAGACACCATGGAATACTATGTAGCCATAAAAATTATGAGATCGTGTCCTTTCCAGGGACAAGGATGGAGCTGGAGTCCATTATCCTTAGTAGGCTAACACAGGAACAGAAAACCAAATATCACATGTGCTCACTTATAAGTGGGAGCTAAATGATGAGAACACATGGACACATAGCAGGAAGCAACACACACTGGAGCCTACTGAAGAGTGCATGGTGTGAGGAGAGAGAGGATCAGGAAAGATAACTAGTGGGTACTAGGCTTAATAACTGGGCGATGAAATAATCTTTACAACAAAACACCATGACACCAGTTTATCTATATAACAAACCTGCACATATACCCCTGAACCTGAAAGTTAAAAAAAAAGATTATTGTGTTCCATCTCAGACCTACAGAATCAGAATTTCAAAAATGAGCCATAAGAACCTGCCTGCATTTTAACAAGCTCTACAATTATTGTGGTACATACTGATGTTTGAAAAGTACTGCCCTTGACACTCTTACTTCAAGCCATTATAGTGAGTCCACACTTAAAAATAAGCATCTTTCCAAGTACTTAAAAGATACAAAATGACAGTGGATCTGAAATGCGGCCTGAATCCCCATGACAATGTGTACATTGTAAGGCCAAACCAATAAAAAAACGAAAAGCTTTGGCGGTCGAGCACACTTGGGAAGCTGCAGTTTCTAGAACAGTCTGGTAGAGGACAGGCTCTTCAGCAGCCTGCTAGGCATTTTTTACTTCTTCCTTCCATTATGCAGACAAGCTAACTGAAGATATGGTTACTGAGGTATAATTTCTTTGCTAGGTCACAAAGTCTGAAAACATGGGCCTTATGTGTATAACTGTGTATCATCACTTGCCACCCCCGGTTTCTCCTGGCTCTATCTATCACCCAAAGTTCTGAATGCAGAAGCCTTAGGGCTCCCCTTCAAGCTGGCATCCCTGGCCACCCTCGGGGGGCTTAGCTACCTGTGAGAACCCACGCAGCAGAGGTGACTCAAAGGGTTAACAATCGGTGGCGCCGCAGAGTGGCAGAGTATGAAGCCAATAGGGTGTCTAGGCAGGCAGTACGTCTGATGTGGGCGGGAATGAGACAAAGTGTGCTAAAGGAAACCAACAGCGGCCTAGGGGTGAAAGGACAGCCAGGGTTTGATGTTCTCGGGAAGCGCGGGCAACCGAGAGAGTCCGTGAGCATTTGTCCTTTTACCCGTCTGTCTTTAGCCTTAGTGTTCGGTAGCAGCGGGGATAGCCCAGGGCCGGTGTATGGCCACGGAGTTACAGTGTCCGGACTCCATGCCCTGTCACAACCAGCAAGTAAACTCTGCCTCAACCCCAAGTCCTGAGCAGCTGCGACCTGGCGACCCGATCCCGGACCATGCAGGGGGAAACAGAGCCCCCAAGGCCAAGGTGACTCTTCTCACGGGGCACGCACATTCTAGTCTGCCGGCCGAGCAGGACACCGGGGCCTGTGGCGGCTCCAGCCTCATCTTAGAGAGCAACAGTGGTAGTGGTGACAGTAGCAGCTATGACGCACCAGCTGGCGACTCCTTCCTAGGGGGCTGCGAACTCTCCCGGCAGATCGGGGCGCAGCTTAAGCTGCTGCCTATGAATGATCAGATCCGGGAGCTGCAGACCATCATCCGGGACAAGTAAGCCGAGAGCGGGAGGGGAAAGGGAAGTGGAGAGCCTCCTAGGCTGTGGGCGGGGCTAAGAGATAGTGTTCTGGGCCTTGGCAAACTTTGGAGATTGGGATAAGACCTTTTATTTGGTGTGCGTGCATGCGTGCGTGTGTGTGTGTCTCGTGTGACTCAAACGCCAACATTTTCTTTCCTAGTTCCGGTGTTTAACATCACTTTGGGTAGGGAGGAAGACTAGGTAGCCTCTGGGCTCTTTGTCTCTCCCAGGGAAGACAACTCCTTGGCCATTCCAGGCAGGTAAACTCCCCTATTCTTTTTGCCCAGTGATCGTCCACATGGTAAACCTGTAACCCAGAAATGGTTACTACCCAAGGTTATGCACCACCAATCGCCTCAGGCTCATAAATAGAAATAAAGCAATTTCAAGGAAATTCTATTGTGCTCCACAGGCCCTGACCCTTTAGTATTTGCTACTGCTAATAAGGTCTTTTAGTCTTGGAGTTCAGGTTTACTTGGTCACATGAAAGCTTATCATCCAACTCTTATCAAGTTTTTTTTTTTTACTGTAAACTCACGGAACATAGTTACTGGATCAAAGGGAGCCTAAAGGAACCTTTGGCACCTCCTAATCCCACGAACCAATGTAGCCAGAGCTTCATGTTAAAATGTTATTTTGAAATTTCTAAACCTACGTTGTAAATGGATTTTCTTCAGGGAAATATGTACCGTGATGACCTACAACTGTTTTCTTTACTGGCAGCACTTTATTTTTTTTGTGTGTATGTTTTGGTTTTATTATTTACTTGTTAATATATTTTTAAAAATCTATCATTCTATTTTATTTATTCATTTCTTTATTTATATATATATATTATTATACTTTAGATTCTGGGGTACATGTGCAGATCATGCAGGATTGTTGCATAGGTACATGGCAATGTGGTTTGCTGCCTCTACCCCTGGTCACCTGTATTTGGCATTTCTCTCCATGTCATCCCTCCCTAACCTCCCTATCCCCCACTGTCCTTCCCCTAGTCCCTCACAACAGACCCCAGTGTGTGATGCTCCCTTCCCTGTGTCCATGTGTTCTCATTGTTCAACACTCGCCTATGAGTGAGAACATGCGGTGTTTGATTTTCTATTCTTGTGTCAGTTTGCTGAGATTGATGGTTTCCAGTTTCATCCATGTCCCTGCAAAGGACACAGCCTCATCATTTTTTATGGCTGCATAGTATTCCATGGTGTGTATGTGCCACATTTTCCCTGTCCAGTCTATCATCGATGGGCATTTGGGTTGCTTCCAGGTCTTTGCTATTGTAAACAGTGCTGCAATTAACATACGCGTACATGTGTCTTTATAATAGAATGATTTAAGTCGTTTGGATATCTACCCAGTAATGGGATTGCTGGGTCAAATGGAATTTCAATTTCTAGGTCCTGGAGGAAACACCACACTGTATTCCACAATGGTTGAACTAATACACACTCCCACCAACAGTGTACAAGTGTTCCTATTTCTCCATATCCTCTCCAGCATCTGTTGTCTCCAGATTTTTTAATGATCACAATTCTAACCGGCATGAGATGGTATCTCAATGTAGTTTTGATTTGCCTTTCTCTAATGACCAGTGATGATGAACATTTTCTCATATGCCTGTTGGCCTCATATATGTCTTCTTTTGAAAAGTGTCTGTTCATATCCTTTGCCCACTTTTGAAAGGGTTGTTTGTTTTTTTCTTGTAAATCTGTTTTAGTTCTTTGTAGATTCTGGATATTAGCCCTTTGTCAGATGGATAGATTGCAAAAAGTTTTTCCCATTTCTTGGTTGCCGGTTCACTCTAATAATTATTTCTTTTGCTGTACAGAAGCTCTGGAGTTTAATTAGATCCCATTTGTCTATTTTGGCTTTTGTTCCCAGTGCTTTTGGTGTTTTAGTCATGAAGTCCTTGCATATGCCTATGTCCTGAATGGTTTTGCCTAGATTTTCTTATAGGGTTTTTATGGTGTTAGGTCTTATGTTTAAGTCTTTAATTCATCTGGGGTTAATTTTAGTGTAAGGTGTCAGGAAGGGGTCTGGTTTCTGTTTTCTGCACATGGGTAGCCAGTTATCCCAACACCATTTATTTAACAGGGAGTCCTTTCCCCATTGCTTGTTTTTATCAGGTTTGTCAAAGATAAGATGGTTGTAGATTTGTGGCGTTGCCTCCGGGGCCTCTGTTCTACTCCATTCGTTTTTATCTCTGTTTTGGTACCAGTACCATGTTGTTTTGATTACTGTAGCCTTGTGGTATAGTTTTAAGTCAGGTAGCGTGATGCCTCCAGCTTTGTTCTTTGTGCTTAGGATTGTCTTGGCTATGTGGGCTCTCTTTTGGTTCCATATGAAGTTTAAGGTGGTTTTTTCCAGTTCTGTGAAGAGCATCATAGGTAGATTGATGGGGATAGCACTGAATCTATAAATTACTAGGAGCAGTATGGCCATTTTCACAATATTGATTCTTCCAAATCATGACCATGGAATGTTTTTCCATCTGTTTGTGTGCTCTCTTATTTCCTTGAGCAGTGGTTTGTAGTTCTCCTTGAGGAGTTCCATTGCATCCTTTGTTAGTTGTATTTCTAGGTATTTTATTCACTTTGTAGCAATTGTGAATGGGAATTTGCTCTTGATTTGGTTCTTTTTTAGTCTGTTGTTGGTGTATAGGAATGCTTGTGATTTCTGCACATTGACTTTGTATCCCGAGACTTTGCTGAAGTTGCTTATCAGTTTAAGAAGACTTTGGGCTTAGACAATAGGGTCTTCTAAATATACAATCATGTCGTCTGCAAATAGAGACAATTTGACCTCCTCCTTTCCTAATTGAAAACCCATTATTTCTTTTTCCTGCCTGATTGCTCTGGCTAGAACTTCCAATACTATATTGAATATGAGTGGTGAGAGCGGGCATCCTTGTCTAGTGCCAGATTTCAAATGGAATGCTTCCAGTTTTTGCACATTTAGTATGATATTCAATGTGGGTTTGTCATAAATAGCTTTTATTGTTTCGAGATATGTTCCATCTATACCTAGTTTATTGAGAGTTTTTAGCATAAAGGGCTATTGAATTTTGTTGAAGGTCTTTTCAGCACCTATCACATCTATGATCATGTGGTTTTTGTCTTTGGTTCTGTTTATGTGGTAGATTACGTTTATAGACTTGTGAATGTTGAACCAGCCTTGCATCCCAGGGATGAAGCCTATTTAATCGTGATGGGTAAGTTTTTTTGATGTGCTGTTGCAATTGGTTTGCCAGTATTTTATTGAAGATTTTTGCATCTATGTTCATCATGGATATTGGCCTGAAGTTTTCTTTTTTTGTTTAGTCTCTGCCAGCTTTTGATATCGGGATGATATTGGTCTGATAAAATGATTTGGGAAGCATTCCCTCTTTTTATATTGTTTGGAATAGTTTCAGAAGGAATGGTAACAGCTACTCTTTGTATGTCTGGTAGAATTCGGCTGTGAACCCATCTAGACCTGGGCTTTTTTTGGTTGGTAGACTATTAATTGCTGCTTCACCTTCAGCCATTGTTATTGGTCTATTCAGGATTTCAACTTCTTCCTGGTTTAGGCTAGGGAGGGTACAACCTCCAGGAATGTATCCATTTCTTCCAGGTTTAATGGTTTATGTGCATAAAGTTGTTTGTGGTAATCTCCAATGGTAGTTTGTATTTCTATGGAATCTGTGGTGATATCCCCTTTATCGTTTTTTATTGCATCTATTTGATTCTTCTCTCTTTTCCTTTTTATTAATCTAGCTAATGGCCTGTCCATTTATTAATCTTTTCAAGAAACAGCTCCTGTATTTATTGCTTTTTTGAAGGGTTTTTTTGTGTCTCTATCTCCTTCAGTTCTGCT